AATTAATTAAATAGATATAAAAGTAAAAAAAATATAAATAAATGTAAAAAATAAATTATTGTAAATAAAAAAGAAATTTACGCATAAACAGAATTTTAACAATAATAAAATAAATAAATAAATAATAAAATGAAAATTTTTTAATGTAATTATATTTTTTTTGCACTGAGACAGTATTTTCATGACAGTTTGACACATGATCATCCGTACCTGAGTGTGCCCTTTCTGTCTCCGGAGGCCAGGTGTGTCCCGTCTGGACTGATGCAGATGGTTCTGATGCCGCTCCTGCTGTCGGCGCTCGATCCCTCGGCTTTCTCTGAGCCACTGATGGCAGTTCCCTCCACGTCCAGCAGGGCGGCGGTGCTGTGCTCCATGTAGAAGATGTGATGAAGATCCTGCGGGAGTTCAGAGTCACTTCATCACTCGTCATCGACTGACATCACGACGCTCAGCGCTCAGCCGGACTTACGTTACTCAGGACGTTACCGCCGTGAACGCCGTCTGAACTCCAGAGACGCACAGTGCTGTCAGACGAACACGAGACGAACGGATCAGACGAGCCGTCACTCTTACTAGGAAACATCTGGAACAGAGCCGAACACACAGATCAGGAAAGAATTCAGACTAGATCAGATTATTCAGGCAAACCAGCATATTATACTGATTTCTGAAGATCATGTGACACTGAAGACTGGAGTAATGATGCTGAAAATACAGCTGCGCATCACAGAAATAAATTACAGTTTAACAGATATTCACATAGAAAACTGCTGTGTTACACTGTAATAATATTTCACAATTTTTGCTGTATTGCAAATTAAAAATTAAAAATTAAAATTAAAAAAAGTTTTGACTGGTTGGGTATTTACGCAATATAGGCTGTTGAAAAAGTGTGTGGCTCTACAGAAAAAGCTAGAGTATTGATACTATTCTGAATAATGAACGCAGACGTGTATGAGAGCGGATGTTCACCTGAAGATCCCAAACACAGGACGAGTGATACAGCGCTGAGAGAACTTTGCCCACTTTGCGCAGGTCTCTCGTGTCCCACACATATAAACTGTGGTCATTATACACACAGGACAGCCAGCGGTTCACGGGGTCAAAGGTCACCGCCACTGAGTCCGGGTAACGGGCGTCTGGCGTTCTGCTGAACAGATGCCTGAAGAACAGAAGTGATGAGCGTCTGTGGGAGGATCGCTGCTAATTACAGCCTGTAATGCGTTAACAGAGCTCTAATGCTGCAGATCTGGCAGGAAGAGACGGTACACAACCAGATCTAATCCAACACTCAACCCATAAACCCATGCGGTGTGGGACGGACAGAGATCACAATCATTCAGCAATCTCAACACACGTCCACAACTACAGCTAACAAATTACATTTGTTAAAGGAAAAAAGATATATGAACTACCAGTCAAACGTTTTTGAACGGTAAGATTTCTCTTCTGCTCACCAAGCCTGCATTTATTTGATCAGAAATACAGCAAAAACTGTAATATTGAGAAATATTTTCAGCATCATTACTCCAGTCTTCAGCGTCACATGATCTTCAGAAATCATTCTAATATGCTGATTTGCTGCTCAAGAAACATTTCTGATTATTATCAATGTTGAAAACAGCCGAGTCAATTTTTTTCAGGATTCACAGATGAATAGAACGATCCAAAGATCAGCATTTATCGGAAATGGAAATCTTTTGTAACATTTAAATGTCTTTATCATCACTTTTGATCAATTTAAAGCATCCTTGCTAAATAAAAGTATTAATTTCTATCATTTTTCCCAAAAAACAAAAACAAAAAAAAAATCTATACTGACTCCAAGCTTTTGAGTGTATAATGTTACAAAAGCTTTATAATTTCAGATAAATGCTAATCTTTGCATGTTTCTATTCAACAAAGAAAAAATGCACTCAACTGTTTTTAAATATTAATGATGATAATAATATAAAAAAATGTTTCTCGAGCAGCAAATCAGCATATTAGAATGATTTCTGAAGATCATGTGACACTGAAGACTGGAGTAATGATGCTGAAAATACAGCTGCGCATCACAGAAATACATTACAGTTTAACA